TTGTTGTACCCCAAAAATTTCCCTCTCATGTTCTCCAAGATTGTCTCTTACATAGATGGTTACAAACACTTGATGGAAGAAAATGTTTTTTCTTGAAGATGAACAAAGGTGTCTTCGGTTGGCATCTGAACAGGATGTCCTTCGATTGGCATCTAGACAAAGAGCTTTGATTGGGCGTATGGGACCCTTTGAGTGATATGTGTCTCACAAGCTTTGATTGGGAATTTAAAACCCTTCGATCAAGCTTTGGTCATCCAACTTCGATTAAGCGTTGGGCCCCCTTTGATCAAGTTCAGTTTGCAAGGCACACAAGGCCAAGACTTCTTCAGATTTGCCTTTAACCCACTAGGCAGAAAACTTCCTTCGACCCATAAGGCAAATACCTCCTTCGTGCTTGATTCAAATCACTAGGGAATGGCCTCTTTTATGCTTGATTTGGCCTCCCTCATGCTAGCGTCCACAAGGCATTGGTTGCCTTTGTTCCAGCTTCAATTGGGCAATGGTCCACTTTGAAACAGTTTCGATTCAATGAATCAAAAGACGCACAGTTTTCCACACTTTGACACGTATGATAGTCCCTTCGAAAGCGCATTCATGTGGTCCCTTTTAAGAAGCATCCATTGGTCCATTCTAAGGACACATTATTATTGAAAACAAGTTTGCTTTGTGATGGGTCTTGGTCCAAGATGCTTGCTGGCCAAAATCCTGCATGCTGCCAAGCCCAAGCCCCATGCACAAGCACATTCATGCCAAAGGAAGCTTCAAATGGCCATAATTAAGTCTTTCGATTGGCCTAGTTGAGTAGTGTCAGAGCAATCGAAGAGAGCGAACTTAGGGGCTGATCAAAGAAGCCAGGATGTCGAGGCCTTATACAATTCGAATTAAGATCCAGAGTCAATCGAAAAGTAAAGATCTGAGGGGCTTTTTGTTGTACCCCAAAATTTCCCCTCTCATTTATTAAATATTTTCTCACAAGATCTCTCTTGGTTCAAGACTGCACAAGGGTCGATCAGCTCAAGACACCTCCTTAAGCACTGATGGCTGAAATTAGGGTTTGAGATTGCACAAGGATAATTGAGATTTTAATGCCTCATATGACTTTCATGGATAATTATGGACCCCCAAGATTTCTCATGTCAAGTTTAAAGTCTTGGATCACATTTTTGCTCAGTCAATTGACCAGTTGACCTAAAAATCAGTTATATTAGGGAAAAAGTCAACTGTGGCCAATTTACAGTCAAACTTCATAATTTTTTATCCATATCAACATTATAAACTCATATGTATAATTTGATCAAGTTTGGACCAAAATTCCTCAAGAAATTTGATTAGATCATCAAAAGGGCAAAATGGTCAAAATTAGGTTTTGATTGAGAAAGGGCAATTTCTGATTTTTGACCTAGGAAATGGTTAATTGGTTTGAGGCATGATCTCAAGAGTTTAATTGCATAATTTTGACATAATGGCATGACTCAAAACATCCCTCAAGATCAATTGGATTGATAGTTAATTTTCAGTCAACTGATCAAAAGTTAATTGTATACTGAAAAAGTCAAACTTTAACTTTTTGGTCAAAATCAAGTGTCAAAGATCACAATTCATCAAAACATGTCAAAATATGAAAAATTTTCATCAAGAAATCAAAAAGTCAAGATTTCATTTTGAAAAGTCAAAGTTTTCAAACTTAGAAATTTTTCTAAGTGTTGAAAACTTCATATTTTTCTATGATATTTAGAAGCCTCTAGATTATTTAAATCCCTGTAACTCTGAACTTT